ATATATATATATATATATATATATATATATATATATATATATATATATGATCATCAATTAAGCGTTTGCACGATCAATGAAAATCTCAGTACGGCAATCAACATGGCTAAACATTCGGTATCGGTGCGTTCGCCTTCACCCGCACGCCCGACAACCCCAATATATGTAACCCCGTCTATGAGACGCCGCGATACGCCGCTATCATCCCCAACATCTACCAACATAGGGTTCGATGGGCTAAAAAGCGATACAGAATCTGAGGCGCGTCTGACGTTAACGCGCTCCCAACTTGCGCATTCGGCCGACCCGACGCTGCTTTCAATTCCGCGGCTTCGTATCTATCCGAGATCTCGAGCACACGTGCAACGCACCTTACTCACCTTACTCACGGACGTGCGATCCTCCCTCGCCTGCCTCCCTCGTCTGCTCGCTTGCACGCGTCGTCGTTTGTCCCCCCGAAGCCGGGGGCGTGAACTCACGTTCACGAACGCCCACGCACGAAGGGAAGATAACTGTTGCGGGGTCACTCGGCACGACGAGGTCGCACACAATCCGCCCCCTGCCTCCCGGCGCCGCTCCGCGATGTCAATGTGTAACAACCCTTACCGACACGGATGGCTCCCTCTGTTGGGGTTGCACAATCGCGCCCTGATTGATAATTTATACGGTGCGTGCAGGTTATTTGATTATCCGCCTCCAGCTGGGAGGCAGCTCGGCTGCGGCTCGACTCGCCTCCTTTTTGTGCTTCTCTTGTCGTCGCTTTCCGTTTTTCGGCTCAGCGGTCTTTGCCGTTGTCTCCTTGTTTTCTTATCTTTCCGTCTCTCTCTCTCTCTTTTTCTCTCTCCGTTTGCCTCTTGACGACAAAAATAGACACGATGGATGGAATACAATAAAAGTGAGATCGCCAACGAGAGAGTGAACTATTGCAAACTCGGCGAGTTCCATCCTGTCTCCTTCGCGCCGGAGTCCGCTGCAAACAAACCGAAAGAATTTATATCAGCCGTTCGGCTCGGATACACTGAAAGGATCTCGTAAACAATACCAGAATTTGGTAGTTGTTACTAAATTATTCAGTCAAATAATGCGAGCCAAACATAAAGTGATAATTAGGAAATAATTTAGTCATATGAAGCAAATGTATAATTCTCAGAACCAAGATTGAATTAGTTGCTTGAATTATATATTTAAGTCATTGAATTAGATTCTGTCAGTTTTAATAGCAAATCTTGATAACAGGAAATGAGATATTAACTATTTTTAAAGCTTGCATCCGTGATTAAAATTATTTTAGGTTTTCTTTATGTTATTTAAAAAATCTTATCTCGTACACTATTTAAACTATTTTAAATTATTTTAAATTATTTTAAGACAAAATTATATTTTTTATTTTTTCTTTTTATTATAATAGGTAATATATATTAATATAAGTACACACAGTTGATAGTCACCAAACATCTCGTTGTCTTAATAAGATAAATATTAATAATTATCAAATATTTCATCAAGTAGAATTAAATAATTTCATAAGACTAAAAAATATCCGATAATAGTCATTAAACACATGGTAATAGATGTTAAATATTTGGTAACTATTACTAAAATCAATCCACTTGACTGTGATTAAAAGTCCTCCGTACATAATATCTACTATTTGGTTATTATTATGATATTTTTGTATTAGTTACATAATTTTTACTTAAGTTCTGTAACAAAATATATTTAGTAATAATTACGAGTTTTTTTCTTTCAGTGTACAAGACGAGCAACGCTGTCGCGCGAGGCGTGAAGATGAAAATGTCAAACTTACCAGAGAAGCCGTCGGGATTAAATCGACCTCGCCGGACGCGACAGTCGGTGTCGCGGGCTTTCGTGTTGTTGTTTGAGTACGTGCCGGGTGCAAGGGTAAATACGGACAATTACATATTTTCCCTCTGATCCTGAGATCGCGCCAGACCCCAGCGAGAACCGCGGCGTATTATACCCGTGCTACACATAGGGTGCTTACGCAAGCGGGGGTTGACATGCGGGCGAAGTGACTGTGCTGTGACAGAAGCGCACGGGGGAGACGGCATGGTGCGTTGATGGCATAATTGGTATCATTCGGGGGTCTTCTTTTGAGGTGACCCATCGTGTAGCCCCATTACATCGAGACACAATTATGCACGTCTCGTTCTACGCGCGGTTACGTGTCCTCGAGCCGCTCGGGATTCTCCGAGAACGTTTTCCACTCGGCCGACACGTGGAAACGATACCGAGCGCAAAGAGTGACCGTCCGCTCGCCGAGTGAGTGTTTCTGTTGCTATGCTTTATTTCTTGTCCCCTACGCTCGCGAGGAGCAAATCAAAAGATTGTGCCAACGCGCAACACAGTGTGTACGTATAAGGCAAGGTCTTGCTCCCAATGACTAGGCACTAATCACTCAAAACAATGTTTTGCTGGTCCAGGTAGAGCTTATTGCTGTTTTTATACTTGCTGGAAAATTGTCTATAGTACGTAGAATTTACAACAGCAGCATTCCAGCAATATCTGCAAACAAATTTAGGTGAGCGTGAGGATTATACATTCGTTTGTTTCTCATCGTTATTTTTTTTGTGTGCCACTATCAATTTTTATAAGTGTGACCAGCTTTAATCTAAATAAGCGCTAGAAAATTTTCTTGCTAAACTTCATAAGTAGTTCAAATAGAAATTCTGTCTCTGTCACCTATATTAATTAAATACAAATCATATGCGATATTGCAGTTTGCTAGTTATTTATTCATCTTAGCTAATTTTTCGTATCTATATCATTTTTGCTATGACTGCACGTACATATATTAGATATATGCATGTATTCTATGTTAAAATTTTAAATATTCGTCTTTGAAAACTGAAACAGTTCTTTGAAAACTAAAACAATAGGAATACCCAAAGTTAGGTGTGTGTGTAGCAGTGTTATTATCGCTACAGCACAAAATATTACTAAAAGATTGCAAAAATATTACAATATTGCAACATATTAAAAACCTTACAGGAATATTGTAATTATAATATTCTATAGGAAATGTTGCAGAATATTGTTACAATATCATTCTAATGTTATATATTTCTAATATTCCATAAATATTATAAAAATATATATTTAATGCTTGATAATATTATATATGAGCGGATTTCACCAATTGATTGATAAGCTAATTAACAGTTAAAACATGTCTTTGTGTTAAAAGAAAAACAAAGACACAATTGAATTATAAATTACTTTACTACTCCGTTGGTGAAATATGTTAAATATAATTAAAATACAAGTAACTCTTCTGCATTGAATCTTAGAATATTGCATTAAAATTAATTAAATTAAGTTAAATTAAATTAATTTCAGAAATATATGTGCAACAGTTTTTTAGATATTTCAAGAACATTGCAAAAGCATTGCAAAATATTGTTTAAAAACAGACACAAAAATGCTACTGCAATCTTTTTGAAAAATATGTAATGCAATATTTCAATCTTACAAAATAATATTCCTGAAATGTGTTTCAGAAATATTTTTTATTGTAAGGATAGTATCCAGACATTGGTACTTTCATCTTATTTCTGTAAATGAGTTTAACTTACTCATTATGTGGAAGACAACCCGCACCGGTCATATTCGGCTAATTCGTCCTCTTCCTTCGCTGCTGGGGCGTCCCCTTGTTCAAACTCTTGGTCCCCTTTAAACCTTTCAAATCGCCGAGGGCCGAGCCCGGCTTATCGGCGACGTGTGATTCCCCCGTTTTGTAATGTTCCTTCGGCTTTAGATCGTCGCGCCGTCCGCTCGCGCGATCTCTCGCCATTACCTCGACGAAGAGCGCTTCGTCGTCCTCCGCGCCCTTTGGCTTGTTCAGCTGCGCGCTTTCGAGGACGACATCCACGTCCTGGAACTTTTCACCAACAGCTCCGCTCGTTGTCCCGCTCTCGAGATGCAACGTGGCGGGTCCTCTCGTTCGCACGCGTTTCCAAGTTCTCACGGGCAACCTGGAGATCTTTGTCTTCTCCGCCTCTGCGCGCGGGGAAATAGATGGTAATTCCGAGATGGATGCTCCTGCGTTCTCGATTACCTCCTCGGGCGCAGATCGCGATAGGACTGTTCGGTTGGCTCGATCGATTTCGCTACTCTTATTGGCACTTCCGATGCGAGAGCCAACGTTATTTCTTCCGCATGTGCGTCCATTGTTTCTCGCCGCGGCGAGCTTGAACATGCTTTTGGCTGAACATCCAGTCTCATTGAGAGGTTTATTGCAGGGCCTAACCTGAGCATTGCCGGAATTGCCGCGATGTCGACGATTGTCGGGAGTCGAATTTGCACTTTCCGCCCTTCTCTCCGTCGATGTCGCACAGCTCACGTCGTTCTTTCTCTCTTCAACCGTCGAACGTAAATTCACATTTGTCGCGGCTGCAGAAATGTATGAAACTTACACGAGAAGAAGATGAACGAACGAATTCACGAGTAATGTTTGTTATTCTCTTGTGAGTGTGTTAGATAGATGTTTCTTAGAATATAATTTAACTACTGAATATGTACACTTCTATCAGATTTACGTTCTAATCGCAAAACTGGCGCTAATACGCGATGCTAATAAAACTATAAAACGCAATCGTGCGCGCCACACATCGTCTGCGATGCGCTCGAATTTGAATGTTATCATAGTAGAAACATCTATCGGTGCTTCTTACGAACTACTTGTTAGCAACACGATCTATACAATAGATTTCTGCACCGAAGTAATATTTTTTTTCATATAAATTCTTTTTAATTTTACTGTGTTTTTAATAGTTTAGAAGAAAACTATCAATAAGACCCATCTCTCTCTTACTAAATCCTATAGTAATTTTTATTATAAAACAAAATATAATAATTTTTATAAAACAAATTGTTATAGTAATTTTTAAAATAAATAAATAAATTCTCTGCGTTTTTTACGTTTTACAGTCCAAGACATTTTAACTCGTTTTCTTTTTTCACGTAATTATGTAAGACAAACTTATAATATGCGAACATAGAAAAATAATTTTTAGTGTCACGTATGTGGCAGCTGGTTTCTCATGAGACATCATGAAAAATCGTGATACATCGTGATAAATCATGAGAAGTGTAATACATGTCGCCATGCAGATAACGAACGTATTGAAGACATTCAAAAGACATCTTACTTTTTTTTAGATGTCTTTCAAACATCTTTAAGGCCTATATTAATAGTTATCATTCGTGAAACTTATCTCTTGTGAGATACTCAGATTTTTGCTCAGAATTAGATCAAAGTTTTTTTATATTTACGTTTCGCGACAGCATATTCTGTATCGTGTAATTTGCGTAGTTTTTTTTCTCTTCAACCGCCGAACGCTACCACAAATTGGTCGTGGCCACGAAAATGTATCGAGAGATACAACTTTCCCCTTGCACGAAAGGGGAAAGAAAACGAGTGAATCGACAAGACCTTTATTATTATCCCGTGTATGTTATGACACCGTAGATGTTTCTTGGAATAATTCAACTACTGAATATGTATATTTCTATTAGACTTACGTTTTGATCGCTAACACGACGCTAATAGCTCTAACAACACAACACATCTGCGATGCGTTTGAATTCGAATATTGTCACAGTAGAGACATCTACCGATCCTTTCAAGAACTTGTCAACACGATCGATAAAACAGATTGCCGCGCGATCATAGCCCGAGAAATTTTAACTTTTTTCTTTTTCTTTTTACGTAATTATGTGTAAAACAAACATTGCTTATAATACAAACAAACATTGCTTATAATACATACAAAAAGAAAAATTTCACTGCAAGCAATACGAGAATTTTTTCTCTAATTTAATATTCTTAATTGAAATGCTATATTTATTAGGATTCAATAAGTATTTTGAATAAATTTGACGCTTATAATGAGCTTATGATAAATTTGCAGATGTAAACTTATGAAATACTTGAAACAAATAACATTTGAATGCAGTATGTATTTTTCTGTATGTGATTTCTCGTAAAAAAAATTGTCTTACGTGTGCGACGCTGCAATGCTGAGAAAAAATACTTTAAAATTTAATTGTGGGATATAAAGTTTATTCACAGATAATAAACTTTTCTGTGGAAAATTTCTTCACATTCTTATGCGAATAAATTTTATTTCACGGAAATAAATTTCATATTTCACAAATAAATTTTGAAGTATTTTTTCTCAGCGTGATAGTGTCACGTGTTAGACGTTCAAAAAACTTTCTACTTTTTTAAATGTTTTTTAGGCATCTTTAAAATCTATATTAAAAATATAACAGAGTTAGATTTTAATTTGTCATATAAATCATGTGATATATGTGACATTACATTTGTAACCACAGTTCGATTGAAAAACTCTCATTTAACTCTAAATTAAAATCTGAATATCTCACCTGAGGCAAATTTCGAATAACGATTATTAATACACGTCTAAGACGTCTTTTAGAAGTTTGTACTGATTGAATCTTACCTTTTTCCATGAAGCGCATGTTTAATAACCGTTGATCGGTGGTTACCCCCGCCGATCGAACGCGAGGAGTATTTGTATCGCGCAAATTTGGCTGGAAGGTCTTTTCTATCGTCGCGTCGTTTTTCAAAACTTGATACTTCGCGCCTTTAATCGGATTTTTTGAAAAACTATTTTTCTCGCGCGTTTTCGTAAATTCACTGTTTTCCGAGTTCATAACGTTCACGCGAGTCTGCTGCAAGTTAAGATTCTGAGACATTACTTCCTGTAAATGTCTGTGATTATTCACCGCTGCCGAATTTGAAGACATTAATTCCTCATAATTTTGCTCATTCTCCAATGAAGTGAAATGCCAGTCGTCATTTTTTGAAAATCTAATAGAATTGACATAGTCAAAAGAAGCATCTTCTCGTTCTCGCCGTTTGGGTCCTACGCGGTTTCTTTTGCTTCCTGAAATAAAGTTAAAAAGGATTGAAAAATAAAAATATAATTATCTATCTGAAGAGAAATCTTTATCTATCTGAGAAATTGCCTTAAATCTTTTTGAGATTATTAATTTATTCTCTTTTAAGATTATTTATCCTCTTTTTATTAGATTGGTGCAAAAACTTCCTCAATTTTCTATTAAATTCTTATAGAAAGATTGAGTATTAAAAGAGAAGTAGGAAGTACGCTTTAAGGATATACCGTCTATGTCTCAAAAATAACGAAAAAATGTTTAAATAAATAGAAATTAATTTATCTATTGCATCTAAAAGTGATCACAATCAATTTAACATTGCGCTTTGAATTATGGATCAAGAATTATTCCACTTTAAAGTGTCAACCCAACAAACATCGCAAAAATTATTAATTTCTCGAAATTGGATAATTTTCGTTCTCAATTTTATTTAACAAACATGACAAATCTTTTGCACCAATCTAATAGAAAACGTACCCGCGTCATGATTGAAACCGTCGGCTCCCGGAAAAAGTTTCATGCGTTTCCTATGCTCGCTCAATGGCAATCGTCTCGATCGACCGTCAGTATTACGAGTTTCATAAGGGTTTCTCTCGTCGCCGTTGACGAACCACAACGGACAAGTGTTCACCCTTTGATAATAAGCACGATCATTGCGCTCTCGAGATGCACGATTACCTCGTGAGAATGGAACTTCATAATTCCTCGAATATCGTACATTCTGAGACGGACGTTCCTTCCGGGAACGTTCGATCATATTTTGAGGCGTAACGAAATCGGTATAGTAATCATTATATCCGGCGGCGTCGTTCGAGAATTCCCAGTCATCGTAGAAGTCGTCAGAACACGAATTGTAATCCAGATCGGCGGAGTATACATCATTTCGATCATTTCGCCACGGTTTACTTTCCATGTATTTCTCCTTTCTACTCTGTACGATCAATCAAAAAAAGAAATATATCGAAATTGGAAAAAGCAAAATATTTTAGTGACCAGATTTAATATTTATCAAATTAAAATGAAAATACCAGAGTTCAAACACATACTTAATCCTAGTCGTTCCTATCTATTTTAATTTGTAAATACGAATATGTAAACTTTTAGAAAATATATATATACATATATTGAATATGTATAAATATATTATATTGAAAGTTTATATATTAAAATATTCGTGTTTAAAGACCGAAACAAATAAGAGAATGTTCAAGATTAGGTACGTGTTTGGGAAAAATAGTTTTACCTTCAGGTAACCATAGAAGTCTATGCGGTTTTTCAATATTTTCATGATCAATGAATTTATTTGATAAACTAATAAATATGTTAACCCTAGATTGTCAATGTTAGTCACTTTGACATATACTTTGGATAATCACTTACTATGAAATAATAAAAAAAAATTTGTAATTAACATTACTTTATTTTCTTTCTGTAAAAAAATAATTGGAAACGTTAACATAAGCGTAAAAACAAATGGAGAAACAATTGAGATAGTAAAAATGACATTGGCAATCTACAGTTAAGGATGTATTCGTTGATTGTTGATCACCCAACTAAGCTAGCTTACTTCAAAGTCATCTAGAATTGTAGCTGTACGGGCGGAGAAATTTGTCGATCTTTCATTGCGCCCTTTAGTGATTCTGCGAGCCGATTCAAAGCCGTCGGTTCCTCTACGTTGCTGATTGAATTTGCTATGTAGAAAATGTATGGGAAATGTCGTTTCCGTATCGCAGGCGACATCTGCTAACTCCACGATCTTTCTTCCTGAGTCACTGTATTCGGGAGATCGAAAAACTGGAAGAATCGGCTCTGCCTCGTCGACGAAAAGGAACAACGGATTCTCGAAGAATGCGGCCATGTTTTACAATATATCACGCACTGAACGTTCGCCTGTGAAACGCGTGAAGAAAATTTATTTTCATGAGACTGGCAGGGGAGAGGGGGAAGATATATACTATCATTTTTTAAAGTACTGAGCGCACAAATGTTTACGAGATATTACATGAAATCAATATTTCAGTAAATCTAATGTTTCTAACGTTAACCTAATATTTTTTATTAATTTAATATTTCTTGTTTATTGAGTAGTCTCTTCGAAATGCAACGATTCCGACTTTAGGAAATATAAATTCAAATATTTGCGGAATATATCAGGATCTTGTTCATCTACTCTGTTCCGGACATCTTTTACTATTTATTTAACTGCAAAATTAGCTCCAGTAAATAAAAATCTAAGATTAACATCTTCAAATATTGATTTTATCCCCACACAGCATTAAAGTCAATATTATTATTATTAAAATATAATAGCTTGTAAATTAAACTTTTTATGAGAATACAATATATATATATATATATATATATATATATATATATATATATA